GGGGGGGGGGGTCTTTTTCATTCCCCGTGCGAGGCTCAAAGGAGCATATTAAGCATGTTGGACTGGACCTTGATTTGGCTTGAGTGTATGCATAATGTATACGTGCGCATGGGTAAAAAGAGAGGGGCGGTGGAGTATGTGTCAGTGCGTACGTATGTATATATTATGTGCGTGCGTGGTGTGTGTGTATGTGTGTGTGATGTGTGTGTTTCTAACGTTTGTTTGTTTGTTTTGTTTTAAAGCTACAGTTCAGCATTCTCGAACTAAAATCGAGTGGCAGAGTTATCGCTCCGAGTAGCCGTTTACGACAAATCAGCTCGAAAATGACCTCACCACACCGGAAATAGGAGATGAAGATTTCTGTAAGTTTTCCTAAAAAGAAATAGAAGAAGCAGGCGTTTCCAGAACACGACATAACATCAAAACCACAACCATAACAACACGTAACTTCATCTTAGCACATGTACTGGTACAACAGTACCTGCAGGTAGACAGTAATAGTCTAAGTATTGATACAACAGTATTGGTAGAGTTATTGCACAGAATAGCTGTTTACGACAAATGAGTTCGAAAACGACCACATCTCACCAAAAACAGACGGAGAAAAGACTTCTGTGAGTTTTCCTGTAAAGAAATAGAAAAAGCTTACACGACATCACATCAAAACTGTCACCACAACAACACGTAACTTTTTCTAAGTACATGTACTGGTACTATAGTGCCTGCTGGTGGACAGTAATAGTCTTAAGTATTGATACAACAGTATCAGCAGAGTTATTGCACAAATCAGTTTGAAAACGACCACGCCTCACCAGAAACATTCGAAGACCTCTGTGAGTTTTCCTAAAAAGAAATAGAAGAAGCAGACGTTTCCAGAACACGACATAACATCAAAACCGTCACCACAACACGTAACTTCATCTAAGTAGCCTACATGCACTGATACAACCGTAACGGCTGGTAGACACCAACAACCCCCCCCCCTCACCCAACCCACTCTCCCC